TGTAAATTCACACTTTAGCAAATAATCCTGACAGAAAGGCATAGGAACTAGTTCATATCTTTATTAATTTGCTGATTTGATTTTTTTTTTTTGTCTTACTAAACATAGAAACATAGAATGTGACGGCAGATAAGAACCATTCGGCCCATCTAGTCTGCCCAATAAAGTTTTCATTCTGCTCAAAATTTTTCTGATTCTGAAAAAAAACAAAAAACTTTAATCTGCTATTCTATAGAAAAATACAGGCATGTTGTATTTTCAACACGTTAATGGAATTATCATAAAACAACAGATGTATTAATGTGCTGTAAATTGCATGTTATTGCCTCGGGGTTACTAATGTCAGCTGGCACTTATTTAATATGTGGTTCTTGTAATGTCATTATATTGAGTGATGAATAATTCTCTGTTCTGACTGTAAAGGACACAAAGGGGCCTCTCTCTAGAAAACATTAATAATGAGTTGCACATGTCCTTACTAAAAACACATGTACAATATTCTTCTAAGTAATAGCTTCTGATTCAGAGTATTACATTCAATCAATGTATTTGATTTACAGATCATCTTGAAAGTATCACTCTCTGTTTTAAGTAATATGTGGGCCAAGAGATTCCCCTTCTAGTGAGTGATATTATTCTCTAATTAATAGCTAATGGCAGACCAGAGCCCGATTAACCATAACGCGGGATAGGCCTTGGAGCTTTGGCTCTGTTTGTAATGGGGTTATCTATGAGCTGCGAGGGAGATCAATGGAGGGATCTCTTCTAAGGAACCCTGTGTGCCGGTGGCATTTTTTACACTTGTCTAGTTGTGGGTAGTTTGTTGGCATAACCACCACTGCCAAAGTAAGATTTTTAAATCTTGTATTTGAATAAAGATATTGTGATATTATTCAATTTTGGGTTCCTGCCTCTCTGTTTATGTCCTACACATATAGTGGATTTATATACATCAAACAATGCAATGTTTTGTGGACAAAGACCCAGGACATACTTGAAAACGAGAGAAATCTCACTTGTATCAATCCTGGTAAAATATTTTTTAAATAATAAATATCGAACGGAATACCCAATTTGGGGACATTCATCTGAATATCTTGTTGTAGGAGAACTTCAAACCCAGAGCCAGGGGTGATAAGGCTCTGGTACATGTGAGTTCTCTCCCTGACAACCCTTATATATATCTGTTGTGGTTTTATCAGATAGTCTGCACTATGTATATTTATGTTATTATGTTTTAGAATATAATTTGAAGTATTGACTTAAGTTTAAGCGAGCTATGTATGTTTGGTATATTTCTTTGTATTACTTGTTGTTTAGCAGACATACGCTCACTCGCAGATGGCATGTAGGAGGTTTAATACCTCTCTTGTACTAATATGGAGATCATATTGACCCCCATAAGATTTGTTTCCTTAAATTTAGGTTTAACAGGGTTAATCATTAACGGAATTCTATTGGCATGTCCCTCTTGTTTTAACCTTGCAATGTAAAACATTATCATTATGCTGGAATGGTTATGTTTACATTGCAGGGTTTAACCGTCCTTTTTTAGACGCCGGCGGGCAGCAGAGAACATCCCTCCCGTCCTTTGTACTTACCGGGTCCCCACCGTTCCCCCGATGGCAGTAGTGATCCTGGGGTCTGCCCGATCCGCAACTCCCGCCCCCTTCCCCCTGCCATTTGATCCTCGTGATCACATGGCCGGAATAGCTGGCTTATGCAGTGCCTGCAGGGGGACTGCATGAGCTCTCATGCCTGTAAAAAAGTTTGTTAAAGTTTTTTTTTTTTTTTTTGAAAATCCTTTATTGAGGAGTTTTTTTTTTTGCATGGTAATTCAATACAAACATTTTCGTGAAGGAATAGTACCAAATTTCGGTGGAGCATGGTTTACAAGTGGATGCAGTATTGCCTACAAACATAATCTTGCCATTGTTAATGTCAAGATAGGTGGCGTTTACATCTTCATCCAGTGTCCCGTGTTACAATTGTCGGGTTTCGGGCGGGAACTGAATGCCATCGGCATGCTACTTATCGTTACCCTTATCTGTGTTGGACGTCAGGTGAGGCCTCTGATAAGGCACTGGTTATACATTGTATGATTAACCGTCAGTGTCAATGTATCATTAGGTCGGTACGGTTACCTGATGATATCTTTATGTGACTGCTATGCGTGGTTTATTAGCTTATGTTGTCCAATGGTTAATGTTGTCCGAGTCAGTGTTTGTGTTGTTCTGTTCAGTAGTGAGCCTGTCGTATCTTTCTGGCGATGGTCTTTGTGTGTAGTTTTGGTCAGATAGGTTGTACATCCGTCTGCCTATCTATGAGTTGGGATTTCCCGGCTCATCTAGTATGTAGTTAAGAAAATGAGAGGAGGGATGGGTATAGGTATAGGCAGAGGATGGGGTGGGGGGGGGGTACGGGTTGGTAAGAAGAGGGAGAAGAGGAGACAGGAGGGGGAAGGGGGGGAGTGTAAGGACGGAGCCGCCCGTTCCTGCGCCACCGCCGCTCCAGATGGCCGGGGCCCGTGGGACGGGCCCTGGCTCAAAGCCCCCGTCCTCACCCGTGAGGAGCTCCGCCGACGTCCGCCCGGAGGCCCCTTGAAATGAACATGAACCATGGCATCCAGGTCTCTGCGTGTTTGGTGGCTCTGCCAAGTAGAGATGCATGTATCGCTTCTGCTCCCTGGATTTCTTCTACTTTGCGTATCCATTCTTCCCTTTTCGGTGTTTCCGTTTTTTTCCAGTAGATGGGTATGAGTATTTTGGCCGCATTCAATAGGTGTCGTAATATCGATTTTTTATAGCTGGATATTGGCATCGGTGATATGTGGAGTAGAGCTAATTCGGGTGACCAATCAGTCACCTCTCCTAGGATCTCTCGTACCGCCACTCTAATCATTTCCCAGTAAGGGGTAATCATGCTGCATTCCCACCATATGTGGATCGTAGATCCCTGTTCAGTCAGACACCTCCAGCAGATTGGTGAGGGAGATGGGTATATTTTATGAAGGAGCGAGGGTGTTCTATACCATGTTGCCAGCAATTTATAGTTCGTTTCCTGAAATTGTGAACTAATGGTGCTTTTATGATGCCAGAGCAGCGCTTTGTCCCATTGATGTCGTGTGAGTGGTTTAGCAAGGAGTTTCTCCCATGTACCGCGGTACGTGTCATGTTCAGTTAGGTGTCCGATTAGGAGGTGTTGGTATAGTATGGAAATTGTTTTGTCGAGTTCGACAGCTTTCGTGCAGCATTCCTCGAACCATGTGAGTTCACGGTTCAGACGGTCTTTGTTGTGAAGCGAACTATGGAAGTGTTTCACTTGGAGATATCTGAGCGTTAGTTGTAAAGTGCACGGTCTGCCATTCAGCAGCGAGTCCAGGGAACGGATTGTGCCATTTTGAAGTACCGTATGGATAGGGACATGTCCCTGTTCTTCCGAGAATGGGCCAGTTCGTGTGGGAATTCCTCCCCCTATTTTGCGGTTATAGGTAATAGGCAGCAGTGGGCTCGGTGTTGGTGATACGTGTTTTTGCTCCCTTAGGGGTCTCCAGCCACGTATCGTCTGTGCTACCGGTCCATAGTCATCCGGTGTGTCGAGTCCCTGTGTATCCCACATGGTGGAGTGTAGAGCTGTGCTATTTCCTTCCGCGTTCAGGGATACCCATTGTTTTTGTTCTGTCTTCGAGTGCCAATTTAGGATACATTGTAAGATTGTTGCCTGGCAATATTTCTTAAAGTCAGGCAGGGCAAGTCCCCCGCAATGTCTGGGTAGGCAGAGCGTTTCGTGTTTGATTCTTGAGCGCTCGCCCCTCCATACATATCGAAGAACCGCTGATTTAAGTGTGTTGAAGAATGGGGGTGGTATGGCGATTGGGATAGTCTGAAATGGGTACAGAAGGCGTGGTAGGACATTCATTTTCAGGACCGCTACACGTCCATGCCAAGAGATGTGTGGGTATGACCATTTGACTAAGTCCCTGAGCAGCGTCTGTAACAAGGGAGTGTAGCTATGGTGGTATAGGTCTTTCGGGTCAGGTGTTATCCATATGCCCAGGTATTTCATCTTGGTGGTACACCATTTAAAAGGGAACAGCGTTTCCAGTGCTCTGTATTCCTCCCCCGGGATCATTACATTCAACACCTCGCACTTGGAGTGGTTGAGTTTGAATCCCGAAATTAGGCCAAATTTGTCGAATTCCGCTAGCAGGCATGGTAGTGTAGTCCTCGGGTTGTTAATGAAGAAGAGGAGGTCATCCGCGTATGCGGCCACTTTTTGGTCCCCCTCTCTCCATGGGAAACCCCGTATATCCTGGTTTTGGCGAATCGTTTGTAGAAGGGGTTCTAGAGTTATGGCAAAAAGTAACGGGGATAGGGGACATCCCTGTCGCGTGCCATTTGATATTGAAAAGTCGGCTGTGAGTGCCCCATTAACCCTAACTGCTGCTCTGGGATTGTTGTAGATGGCTCTGATCCATGTGAGAAAGTTTCACCCTACACCCATTTCCTGTAGTGTAGCTATCATGTATGGCCACTGTACCCGATCGAATGCCTTCTCTGCATCCGTGGAGAGTAAGAGGAGTCGTCGTTGCGACCTCTGCGCCAGATGTTGTATTGCGAATAGGCGCAGCTTACTGTCCCTTGCCTCCTGTCCTGGGATAAACCCGGTTTGGTCCACATGTATCAAGCCCGGTAATGGTGCCTGGAGTCTGTTAGATAAAACTTTCGTGAATAACTTAGTGTCCACGTTGAGAAGGGAGATCGGGCGGTAATTACTGCAATACATCGGATCCTTGCCAGGTTTAGGGAGAACTGCTATCGTCGCCGCCAGGGATTCGGCCCCGAATGTTTTTCCCTCCGTGATCGCATTGACAGCTTTAGTTAGCCAGGGTAGTAGCAGTGTTGCGTAGGTTTTATAGTATGTTGTGGAGAATCCATCTGGTCCTGGTGCCTTTCCGGTTTTTGTCCGTTTCAATGCTGCTGCTAATTCCTCTTCCGTAATCAATTCGTCGAGGGCGGTCGTTGTTTCCTCTTGTAGTTTCCGTAGCCCTGCATTTCGCAGGTACATCTGGATCCTGGCGTTGTCGGTTTCTCCGTCATGATTGTAGTTCTGGGGTCGTAGATTATATAGCTTGTGATAGTACGATCTGAATTCCTCGGGTTGGGTGTATTGAGGTGGCGCCCGAGGATAATCGTAATTTGGACCTGGGCGTGGGGAGTGTTGTCTTTTAGTAATCTCGCGAGGTAGCGTCCTCCCTTATTGGCATGGGTGTAGAAAAAACCCTTGGACCGCTGGATGGAGCGTAAGTAGCGCTTCGTCAAGAGGTCCTTGAGTTGTCGTCTAGCTTGTAGCAATTCCCCATATGTGGTCACAAGTTGGGATCTTTTATGCAATGTTTCCAGGGTGGCGATTTGTCGATATAGGTCAGCCATCTCTCTTTGTGCGTCTTTTTTTTTTTGTGAAGCAATACGAATAAGCGAGCCTCGGATTACACTCTTGTGCGCTTCACACACCGAGATTGGGGACGTGTCCACCGTTCCATTGTCTTGGAAGTAATTAGTCAGGTCCTGTGTGATCTGTTCTTTTGTGCCCGGGTCTTGAAGTAACGTTTCGTTCAGCCGCCAAGTCCATCGTGTAGGTCGAAAAAGTGGGGATTCCAGAGTGACCCTGACCGCCCCATGGTCCGACCACGTTGCCGGCTCAATGTTGGTCGAAAGGAGGTGTGGGAGCCCGATTTGTCTGGTGAACACATAGTCGATGCGGGAGTATCGGCTATGTAATGACGAGTAGTGAGTGTAGTCTTTCGTGTCAGGGTGTAGGGTCCTCCAGCAATCCACCAGATTCATATCACTCAGTGACTTTTTGATTAGGCGGATGTTACATTGCGGGATACAGCTATGCCCTGTTGATGAGTCCAGGATGGGATCCAAGGGTACATTGAAGTCTCCCCCTATTATCAGGGTGCCTTCCGCGAAATTTTGTAGTTTAGTTAATGTGTTTTTAATAAATTGGGCTTGACCCCTATTGGGTACGTAGATGGAAGCGAATGTGTACATTTTGTTCAGTATGGTTCCTTTCAGAAACAGGTATCGACCTTGGGGATCGCTTATAAACGCTAGTTCCTGGAATTCTAATCTTGCTGCTAGGAGGATGGCTACTCCGGCTTTGCGTTGTGCCGAATGGTTACAAAGATAAGGCTTCGGGAATGTCTTGTTCTGGAGTTTCGGGGTAGCATCTGCCCGGAAGTGTGTTTCTTGGAGTAGTGCTACCGAGATTCGTTTCTTCCTTAGGTCTCGGAGTAGGTGTACTCTGCGCTCCGGGATGTTGAGTCCCCTACAATTAAGAGTAAGGATATTAATGGGTTCTGGTTGGTAAGTCATGTTCACCCCAGCCTCAGGGCCCCCCCCGCGGTCGACTCGTCAGAGCTCCCCTCTCTCGTCCTTTAGTAGGGTTTCGCGATGGCCTCGGCCCTTCGTCCAGGCCCAATAAGTTGCAGCGGGGTTCCAAGGCTAGTCGGCTCCGGGAGTAGCGGGGGATTGAGATGTGCGGGAAAAACTCAGGGTGGGTGGGTGCAGGTGTAGCAGAAAAGAGGGTTAAGGTAGGGATGGTAGATGGTTTAGGAGAGGTGGGTCAGGGTTGTTAAAGTTAATAAAAGTTATAAAACAAGGACTTAGATTATATATATATATTTATATATATGATCTAAGTACTTTTATATACACAAACATACATATATATAAAAATACACTATTAAAAAAATTAAAAAATTAAATAAACAAAATAATAAAAATATATTCTAAAAAATTATATACCAGTTTTAATTTGCTCTAACTGTATTTTGATATTAATATACATATACATTAAATTCAAAATACATTTACAATGACGTTATAAATACAAATGATCTTGAGAAAGACCTACCGTATATACTCGTGTATAAGTCGATCTCATGTATAAGTCGAGGGCAGTTTTGTGACCAACAATTGTGAAATATGCTATGCCTCGTGGATAAGTCGAGGGTAAAACTTGGGACTATGAAATTCTGTGATTTTAGAATTATATACACACACACTCATACAAACACACTCTGCATTATATACACACACACTCATACAAACACACACTCTGCATTATATACACACACACTCATAAACAATCTGCATTCTACACACACACTCATACAAACACACATACTCTGCATTATATACGCACACACTCTGTGTGTATATAATGCAGAGTGTGTGTGTGTTTGTATGAGTGTGTGTGTAGAATGCAGATTGTTTATGAGTGTGTGTGTATATAATGCAGAGTGTGTGTTTGTATGAGTGTGTGTGTATATAATGCAGAGTGTGTTTGTATGAGTGTGTGTGTATATAATGCAGAGTGTGTGTTTGTATGAGTTTGTGTGTGTGTGAACTGGGTGGAAGGAGGGCATTTTTATTATAAATTTTTTATTTTAATATTGTAAGTTTTTTTCTTTTCTTTTATTTGAATATTTAAGTTTATTTTTTAATATTAAGTTTTTTCTTTTATTTTATTTGAATATTTAAGTTTATTTTTTAATATTAAGTTTTTTCTTTTATTTTATTTGAATATTTAAGGTTTTTATTTTTTATTAATTTTTTTCTTTTATTTTATTTGAATATTTAAGTTTTTTTTATTTTAATATTTTAATCTTTTTTATTTTAATAGTTTTTATTGTATTTTTTTTTTGTATTTTTAATTTAATTTTTGTCCCCCCTCCCTGCTTGTTAGCTGGCCAGGGAGGGGGGCTCTCACTCCCTGGTGGTCCAGTGGATGGGCTGTGCAGGAGGGGGGGGCTGACAGTGAGAGGTTACTTACCTTCCTGCAGCTCCCTTCTCCTCCGTGCAGCTCTTCTGACAGCTCCCACTGGAAGTCTCGCGAGAGCCGCGGTGACCCCGCGGCTCTCGCGAGACTTCCAGTGGGAGCTGTCAGAAGAGCTGCACGGAGGAGAAGGGAGCTGACAGGAGCTGCAGGAAGGTAAGTAACCTCTCACTGTCAGCCCCCAACAGGACCGCCGGGCTTGTAATGAGCCCGGCGGTCCTGGTCTGTATTGTGGCAATGTAATTTGCCATAATACAGACATTAACTCGAGTATAAGTCGAGTGGGGGTTTTTCAGCACAAAAAATGTGCTGAAAAACTCGACTTATACTCGAGTATATACGGTAAATAGGTCGAAACGCTGATCGTTATTTTTTTTGAAAAATAAATCTATAGCACAATATTAAGACCAGGAGTGCACCTTTATCTGATTGTTTAGTATATATATATATATATATATATATATATATATATACCCTGCTCCAAATTTTATGCAAATTATATTTTTCTCATTTACCTAAATAATTGATGTTAATAACAGTCAGCATAATTCTCATGTTATCAACTATTAAGAATACAATTAAAATTTTATTGAACAAACCTCCTAATGATAACAGTAGTTTTTTAAACATAAAAAACTTACAATGCACTCTTCCAAATTATTACGCACAGTAAGTTTCAAAACACTTTATAGGTTGTAAAGAACTGAAAATTGTCATTTGTTGTGTTTGCAGCATATTTACTGAAATCAAAAGCTATTTCAATCAAACTTATAACAACATTTTAACTTTTTAAACATTTTAACAGGTCCCGTTACATTTTAACATAAGACCCCTTATTTGATAGCAGCTACACAAGTCTTGCATCCATTGAACTTGTGAGTTTTTGGACAGTTTCTGCTTGAATTTGTATGCAAGATGTCAGAATAGCCTCCCAGAGCTGCTGTTTGGATGCAAACTACCTCCCACCCTCATAGATCTTTTGCTTGTGGATGCTCCAAAGGTTCTCAATAGGATTAAGGTCAGGGGAGGATGGAGGGCACACCATGACTTTCTCTCCTTATATCCCCATAGCAGCCATTGATGCAGAGGTATTCTTTGCAGCATGAGATGGTGCATTGTCATGCATGAAGATGATTTTATTACGGAAAGCATAGTTCTTCCTTCTGTACCAGGGAAGAAAGTGCTCAGTCAGAAACTCCACATACTTTGCAGAGGTCATCTTTACACCTTCGGGGACTCTAAATGGGCTGACCAGCTCACTTCCCATGATTCTGGCCCAAAACATGACTCCACCACCGCCTTGCTGACGCAGCAGCCTTGTTGGAACCATCCACTACTCCATCCATCTGGACCATCCAAGGTTGCACGGCACTCATCAGTGAACAGGACTGTTTGAAAATTAGTCTTCATGACTAGTTGCAAGACTCTGGAGGACTCTACACCTTGATGTCCGTGGGACTCAAGGGGCACCAGCAGCTTCAAATATCTGTTTGCTGCTATGTAATGGTATTTTAGCAGCTGCTCTCTTGATCCGATGCATGGATCTGGCAAAAATCTTTCTGTGCTCTGAATAAGCCACAAATCTCTTAATAGTTCGATGATCACGTTAAGTTTTCGTGAAATATCTAATGTTTTTATACCTCATCCAAGGCATTGGACTATTACACTCTTTTCGGCAGCAGAGAGATCCTTTTTCTTCCCCATATGGCATGAAAATGGTGCTCTGCTTAATAATGTGGAACACCCTCCTTTCATAGTTTTTCCTTAAATTGGGTTCACCTGGCAATCTAATTATCACAGGTGTCCGAGATTGTTTTCAGTGATCAAAAGAGCCCTGAGACACAATGCCATCCATGAGTTAAACTGAAAAACAAAATATTTAATCTTTGTGACACTTAAATAGAATTTGCATAATAAGTTGGAACAGGGTGTATATAGATGTAAAAATCTGATAACATTTGTATATTGTAATACCTTTTTTATTGGACTAAAAAGCTTTCGGGAGAACCTCCCTTTCTCAAGTCTGAAGCATTTCTGAGCAAGACACATATAGAATTCAAAGTTGAGTTGTGATACAGGGGTTAAAGCAACATGATTGCAGATAAAACACAGGTTTCATAGAAAATAGTCAACATTTTTGCAGAGGGTCATAAATATCTTTCTGAAGATCAGAGTGAGGGGGAGAGAAGAAAAACAAGCAGACAGAGCAAAAGATGGTACACTTTATACACACACACACAAATATAGTGGAAAATGTATTCATACTTACCGTAATTTTCTTTTCCTGGCTATTATTCATGGCAGCATATACACATGGGTTAGCTCCTCCCCTACAGCCGATAGGACAGGAAAACCACCAAGGTTTTAAAAGGAGGCTCCATCCCTAAGGTCCTCAGTCAGTTTACAAGCTCTACAGTACATAAATAGAGACATTAATGGGTGGGAAGTATATGCTGCCATGAATAATAGCCAGGAAAAGAAAATTACGGTAAGTATGAATAAATTTTCCACTTTCCTGGCTAATCATGGCAGCATATACACATGGGGAATACCCAAGCTTACAAAGGGAGGGACAGAATAGCCAATC